AGGTCACAGCCTTGAAAACCCTACGAAGCAGTGCTACTCTGCACACATGGGGTCGCCATGAGTCAGAATCGACTCTACAGCAACTAACAACAACAGAGGTAAAACACCATGCAGAAATTATGGTTTGGAATTACACTGTCACTTCCTCAAGCTCTGAATAGTAGTTCACCCTCCCCACTCCTCCCCTGCACCATGCTCCCAATACTCTCTACTCTTGATGCAGCTATGTGCAGAATAAGATCAGAAAATTCCCCTGAAAAATCTCTGAGACTGAGAACTCTGGAACACAACACAGGAGCTATGTCTCCAGAGTCCATTGCTCGGGTGAGTAAAAGAGGAGCTAAAAGAAAAAGGATTCAACGAATACAGGCATTCTGAGACTGAGATGTGCAATATTCTATCATTTTCCCTTCCCTTTCATTCTTCCTGGTTTTGAGTAAAAGAATGTCTAATAATAACTCCATCCTCCAGAGGGAAAAAAGTCAGAGTTTTGAGGGGTTTTTTTTTTTTTCATAAAGAATTTTATGTTGAATTCTAAAACTGAGAAAATAATATAAACGCACTCAACTATGCCAATAAACCCTGCTGTACTGACAGGAGCTTTGAATGAATTTTGATAGGACGTGGCTTTTCTGAAATTACTAAATTAAGATCAATTATTGCAGCTTTCTATTTCTCGGGCAAAGCCTTCTCTTTGCTAGTATATTTTTCACTCTAAAACAGTGGGGAAGGAAATGGGGGAAAATGAAGGTGCATGCTCCCTGATCAATCCTGATTCACCACCGTCCTTAGAATCATTTTTAATGGTTAAGATTCTCTCCAGCAGGAACTGGATGAGAGTGACTTGGGCAGGGTTATAGCCAACAGTGGTGAAGCCAGTCATAATATGAATCTTTGTCTCTTTCATCCAAGAATACTTTAGTGCTTAGCAAGAGAGACTTTTATGCAAGGCTGCCTAAATTTCTGTGCATATGTGAGAGTGACCAAGAAAAGAATTCATCAAAAGGAGGAATTAACAGATAAATAATAGGCAAATAAAAAGTGCTATCTACATATTAGATTTCATTCCCTGTCATAATCTAGCTCTGATATTTAATTATCTGTAGTCCAGAAGAATGAGGCAGTTGTTTCAACTTCTGGCCTTTATCATTTCCCCCCAACAGGACTGGAGGTATAATTAGATACACAACAGTTGTTTTCAAATGCAGGTTTGTTAGGGGAAAAGCAGAGGTAAGAACAGAGAGGAAGCTTGAGAAACAGCTATTCCGTGTGTTTGCATATTTATGATTTTTTTAATTAATGGTAGTAGGGGGAAATAAGTTGGATTTTGTTCCTTTGTATTGCAAGACATATATTCAAAAGTTCATAAAGCATGTCTGTTTAGTTAAGAAATATTTATAAAATGAATTCCCATGAAACCACCACCTAGAATAGAAAATGGAACACTGTATGAGCTCCCACAAACCCCTGACCAATTACAACCTTTTTCTCCCATCGAAGGGTAACTACCATTCTGATTTTTGTGATAATTACTTCCTTACATTTCTTTATAGTTCTGCCAATTGCCTAAGCACCCCAAAGAAACTGAGTTTAGTTGTTTTTTTTAACTTTACAGAGAGAATTACAGTGAATGCATTTGTCATGTCTGGTTTTCCACTCAATCTGAAGTTTATTAGATTTATCCATGTTGTTACACATAGATGTGGTTCATTTATTTTCATTACTATATTGCATTCCATTGTATGAATACAGCACACTTTATTCATCTATTCACCCGGTGATGGGTATTTGGATGGTTTCCAGTTTGGGATCATTTAGAACAAGGCTGAACATTCCGGAACACGTGTC